CTGACGGTTTGCCAGAATCTCTTCGAGGCAGTCCGAAAGTCTTTTTCCATGGCCTCTCCAAACCCCTCCACAACCAAGTTTTTGCCTCAGCTACTACCCGAGATCGCTCAGGTAGTAGCTGTAGCTGACCTATCAGCTGCCTCCGAAGTCCCACGGGCTAACCAAGCTCGGTAGGCCTCCTTCTTCAGCCTGGCGGCTCCCTTCGTCTCCGGTGTCCACCATTTGGTTCAGGGGTTACCACCACTACAGGCACCAACCACCTTGCGGCCGCAGCTCAGTGCAGCGGCTTCGGCAGTGGAGGTGCTGAACATGGTCCATTCGGACTCAATGTCCCCAGTCTCCCTCAGACTGCTGTTGAAGCTCTGCCAGAGGTGTGAGTTGAAGATCTCACGAACCGGGGCCTCTGCCAGGCGTTCCCAGTGCCCCCAAACGTATGCTGACGGGGCACTGTCTGGCATCCTCCCCTGCCACCTGATCCAACTCACTACCAGGTGGTGATCAGTTGACAGCTCACCCCGTCTTTACCCGAGGGTCCAGAACACGTGGAATTGCTCATTAATTCTAATCTTATCTCTAATAGCACCAGGCTAAGATTAATGTTAACCTAATGCATAATCCTGAACATTTCAGCATGTAGCAGCAGCTTATTTGAACCATGTATCAACCCTCAGAGACTACTGTGTAGTGTCTGTAATTGGTTAGTGAGGGGAGGAGCTCAGTGCCGGACTGTCTGCAGCTTTGCCGTGTGAAGTCACGCGTCAGCTGACGGGAGCAAAGATGTCTGTTGGTGTCTGTGTTGCAAATGAGTTCCATATTAATTCTTATATTGATTAATATGTAAGCATTGATTTGTTAATGAATTAATGTTTTTGACAACCCTGATAACCAGTAAACATGTAACTAACATGCTGAGGATGTCTTTGCTTTCTGTGTTGCTTCAGGTGTTTGAGGGAACATCAGGTATTGATGCCAAGAAGACAGCATGTGAATTCACCGGTGATATCTTGCGTACGCCGGTGTCAGAGGACATGCTAGGTATGATCAACATGATTTAATGATTAAAATGCTATAGCATGCTGAATTAATGCAGTCAGCTTCTTTGCTTGTTACGCTAATTTCTAAATAAACTGTAAAATCAAATAATTAAATCAAAGCTTTTATTTTAATGTTCTTCACTGTGACTGTCTCAGTACAACACAAGGTTACATACATTTGAATAGAAGCAGAAAGAAGAGATGCTTTTCCTTTTTTTGAAGTCATCACTAACACGAGTTTATAATTGCTTGTTACTTCAAAGTAAAGCAGCACAAAGTAGACAGAATGTGCTTGCAGGTCTCATCTCATTAAACAATGATGTAATGTCTAAATGCCTCCTTACCAAAATATTTCCTTTTATAGGTCGTGTGTTCAATGGTTCAGGCAAACCTATCGATCGCGGGCCGACTGTTCTGGCTGAAGATTACTTGGACATCATGGGTATGTTAACCTCTTACTTTCCTGCTGCTAAGTC